TCAATTATGAAGACTCCTAATTAACTTTCTTACAAATATATTCTCAATGCATTTAATGCCTGTTTTAGGCCAATGTTTGTCTCTTGGGCTCCATTTTGCTCTGTATCACTGGCATCATTCTTAGTGAAATGTCCCTTTTAGAGACTTTAATAAGAGCAAGAAAACTGTCATGATGTTATTGATGGGAATAAGAAGAGAAAAAAAACCTGCATGTAGATCAAATGTTTTCCTTTGGATTTGTCAAAAATTGGTAAATTTTTAATATGTTATATAAAATGTAGCACATCCCACTTCTAATCTATAAGTATTATCAAATAAATTACACCTCAAAATTCTGATATTAATAAATTAAATTGGAAATGAATATAACTTTAAGAAACATATTCTGTTTTAGGTTGTATGTGATCTGCATATTTAATCCTTCAGACATTTGTCCTAGTCCTTGTGTAATTCTGAGAAGCCCTACATTTGTAGGCTTTGACAACCATTGAGTTGCACAGATAATAAAAATTCAGGTTACAATATTAAGTTTACATAAATGTGTATCAGAAGTAAACTATACTTCTCATTCTGTTTAGCATATCTATAAATATACTTCTGTAATGATATGGCATCAATTTTTTCTTGTTTGTTCTTGCCTTTTTATCTCACTCCTCTAGGGAGATAGGAAACGGAGAATCAGTAATCTAATCAAACAGCTCCATAAGACCAAGAAGACATAGTGGTGTGGTTTAAGTGTGCTGTTGTTTACTAGGGGTTGGTTTGAAGGTCTTGAGATATAGTCCAATCTAGCTTCCAAATTACTATCCTTCTGCCTCAGCTTTCCTAACACTGAAATGTCAGGTGTGTAACACTACCTCTGTTTGGTTGTTTTGTCTTAATGAATGTAATCAACATTTAGTTTATTAGTAGTATATTGTTTCATTAATACTAAATTATACATTTAAAATGTAAGAGGTTAGCTCTTACTCCAGAAGCTCTTTTCTGCTCAACTGGAATAATTTCGTTGCCTTTATTTCCCAAGTACTAAGACTTATCTAGACCCTACTTGTGAGATCATAAGCTCCAGGGGTGTGCAGTCCCTCAGGAAGTTCACCCCTGGAAGAAGTAGGTCTTAAGAGGTACAGACCATCAGGAAATCTGTGTCCACTACACAAGCCTAACAAATCTCCCGCCCCACTTGTCATTACTTACTCTCCCTCCATCCCTTCCATGGGATAGGCTAAACCTCAGATGAAGATAACAGGAAATGGTGAGATGCTATCAAGTTATATCAAAAACATTCTTATATCTCATCCCTAGGGAGTAAAATGTTCCTTCTCTTCTCCTCTTCTGTATGTCAAAACATTAACACAAAGGCAACACTTTACCAAATTAGATTTTATCTTCACCAATCCTTTAAACTTATCTATCAATATGATCTTCATTGGACCTCAGGTCCTATATTCTGAATACACTGAGCTTCCTTGCTATTTCTGCCTAATTACCGGCAAGAATTCGGAACTACAGGGATGAAATAGGCAATGGCTGAAGTTCCTGATTATGTTTATTGGAAATATGGACTAAATAAGGCACTTTAATTAGTATCAGACAGAAGGATGAATTGATCTCCAACAAAGCACAAACTGTTGAAGCAATAAAAATTTAGAAAACGTGTCTGAGGCATAATTTCGAATGATGATGGAAGAGATGAATCTCCTTCCTGGTGTGCAAGATGAGATTTTGGGATTAAAGTGACTGCCCTGGGAAGCGGCAGCTGGTTAGACTCAGGCAGTGTGTTTAAGGTTATCTGCCCCAGGGAAGCGGCTACGCATATACAGCTTTTAATTCACTTTAGAAGTTACTTTAGAAGTGTCCACAGCAAATCACAAAGGCTATTTTGATCAGATTTCTTTGTGAAGAGTATTCGAAAAGAGTACTAGGTTCTTACTGTAATATTTTCTCTCTGATAGTGAACATTTTTAATCGCCTAAAGTATTCATTAGTAAGTTCCCTGTCAGAATATTTTCATAACTATATTATGAATATTTTAGAGATTCAATGAGTCACAAAACCTTTTGTTTTTTTGTAAAAAATATTAGTATTATAGAAATATATAAATAAGTTGAATTTAAGATTTTATAGCAGCTATACCAACTAAATAAAAGCCAACTAAACAGAATAAACATTTTATGATTCCATTCTTTCATCTTCCACACTGATGTGTAACAGACTAAAAGTGGGTGTGGCAAACCCTTTCAAACTATCTTTGAAGACACAGTAAAATGATGTTAATTGAAAATCTTTGTACTTGTCCTTTAACTTGTGAAACAAAACACTTGCAATATACATATCACAACCAAATAAAATGGTTTAAGATGATTATATATAAAAGGAATGGCGATGAGAACTCTTAGGACAGTTGACCCTCTCAAAGCCTCACAGAGTAGGGAATTTAATAAACAAATGTATGTACCAGAAAAGAACTCAAGAATTCAGTGTACTGTGTTGGCTAGACTAGACTTCAGCTATATTGGCCATTGGGCTGACTGCGTGCAACTTGGGGCTTTCACTTCCTGAAGCTAAGATGCTTCTGCCATTGACTTTATTTACTACACAAAGTACCTTTTCGACTGCCTAAAAGCCCCATAATAAATGAAAATGAAGGCACACACACATAATGTTAAAATCATGCATAAAGATTAATTACCATTTTAACTACACAAATTAATAAGAATTAAATCAAAGCCAAATTTTCCACATGAAAATACTGTAAAAATAAACAAACTTAAAAAACTAAACTAAAAAGGAGGATATTGTACAAGATAAAAGTTAATTTACAATATTTCTATACTTATGTATTAAAAAAAGTTTAACTGGAGTTATCATACCTGAGAGGTGAGAGAGGGTGCCAGGATAATGATTTCCCTAGACAGCAGGACATCAAACAAAAAGCCTAATGCCAGTCTTAGGATATTAGCCTTATAGTTGTTGGTCAAAGGGGTCCCAGAGACTTCCAAAACAACATAGGAAAGCAATACATTTCTCTTGGTTTTCCTCTAGAACAGTATGGTAAGACTCTATTCCTGAAGATACCAAATACTGGGTCAACAGGGCATAGCGCAGCAGTTCTTAACCTGTGGGTCACAACTCCTTTGTGGGTCACATACCAGATATCCTGCATATCAGACATTAACATGATGATTCAAAACAGTAACAAACTTACAGTTATGAAGTAGAAACGAAAATGATTTTATGGTCCAGGGTCACCACAACACAAGGAACTGTATTAAAGGGCTGCAGAATTAGGAAGGTAGAGAACCACTGGCATGGAACAATGAGGTTGATGCCCAGACACTTCATTATGTCAGGAAGGGCTCCGTAAGTTGCTGTGACAGAAGAGTCATCACCTAGTTGTGAACAAAGCTAGCCAAATGGTTTCAGTTCCTAGGAATACTATTGTATAGGATACATTTCTTTGGATGAAATAAAATGCCTTTTTCTATTTCAATGAGCTTACTGTGGCCTTGAAGCTTCAGCCTGGTCCGTCTGCAGCTTTTCTCCTCCTTCCACCTCCATCGTACAGTAGACAATCCGATTAGGAGCCACTGACTTCAGACCCTGCACTTCCATTATGACAATCTGAAGATAAAATAATTTGCAATTAATGCGTAACATCGATACTGGCCAATAACGGAGAAGTAACTGCATGAATAGTTTGGGAAGGATCTAACAAGACCCCATTCCCACTATTGGCAGTTGGTTTCTGAGAAAGAGAAAGCCAGTTTTCTTCAGAGGGGTGACTCCTGGAGTGTTGACTGTGCTCCAGAGGATGGCGTCAACCCATGCCCATTTGGGACACACTAATTCTGGACTTTGTGGAACACACACACACACACACACACACACACACACACACACAAAACTCTCAAAGAATAAATAATAAAATTGAAAGGAATAGTAGCATGAACATTCAGGAGTTGGAAGAGCAACTGATGAACTTATCTAGCACTCTCATTAATATGCCTTGTACATATAAACAAAACAGCTCAGTCCTATAGGTCTAGTTTCCAAGGAGGGGTACAAACCAGCCCAAACGTTAGTGAGAAAGAGTCAATATTCATGGACCTTAGGCGAATGGAACTGTAGCTACTTCAGTTGATTCTCAACAAAACCTGATCATGATACCACAGAAAATAAAGCTGAGCTATGCTGTGTGTTGCATCATGTCTCCTCCGCCTTTGCTTGGCTAATGCAATGAGAAGAAAACAGACAAGGCTGTCTTACAAGCAAAAGGAAGGGACGCACTAGACAGTATGCACAGAGCCATAGGTAGCCACAAGGTGACATGATACTCAAACACACAGCTAAGCAGTGTGGGGGACCATGAGGGCGTTGTCAGCAGACCCACAGGCTGGCACAAGGTCTGCCAGCCTAAATGTGAATGTAAAATATCAATGTGAAGTTAACCAGATTCAAGCCACAGATCCCCCAGGCAGTTAACAGACTCCTAGGTTGACAACCATTTGCTTTTCTTGTTTTGTTGGATTTTCAATATACCTTGACATGGCTTGTTCTGTGTGTTAGCTCAATGTTCTGCTTTATCATTCCTTCTAAAGGCTTTGTGGATGGAGACTATGCAAATATAATTCCACATGTCTAACTGCTTTGGATATCGTAAACTCCCTTCATGTGTTCAATACACACTGCATGAACTGGGTGCAGGCACTGGTTAGGTGTTTTCCGAACCCCAGTAAACAGAAAACGGGGATGGGAGTCTCTTTTCTGCAGCTGACATGTCAGTAGCAGAAGTCAGGTTCTAATGAATATAAAAAATCACTGAGCCACAGCCTGGCAGCAGGGCTGTGCTGAAGGGGATCTTGGTAAGCAAGAGGAACAGTTAGGAAAAGGGAGCAGGAGCCATTCACTCAAGAAAAGGGTGGTAAGTAAGAGCAAAGCTTTTCAAATTTGTACTTTACTTCTTGAATCCTAGATTCATTTCTTGGTTAAGATACCTTCTACACTGGGCCAGTTCTAAGCCCCAAAACTGAAATGTGAGAGCTAGGCATTGGATCTACTGCTGACTTTTAAGGGCTTTCATTGTTGCCGTCAGGATCCAAGGAACCGGCTTTGCTTCATGGGCCTGGCTGGTGTAACAGCCTGTGGTAAGGAGGTTAGCCACGCATCCCTCAGGTGTTCTGGACCATCCCTGCTTAACGTGATTTCATTGTGCTGCTGGGCACATAACTCATTCATGAAACACCGTGGGCACAGAAAGCAGATTTGTATTCATCTATGGGCACAAAATACCTGCCTTAGACAGATGCGGCAATAAAGGCTGCCAAAACCATTTTATAAATATGCAAGCTTCTCAGACCACACAAAAGGAAGTTTCAACTTGCATTTTCTGCTTTAGAGATTACCCTGCTAACCCAATAGCTCAATCTAACATACCGGTAATAAAACATAGAATAACAACTCAGCCACTTGGCATTACCATACAAGCCCAATTTTGACTTTCAAAGAGAAAAAGAACTCCCAAGTTACTCATAAGTTACTTATAAATTTGAAGACTTTTAAACAATAAAAAGGGAAATAGAAATGTGGGAACTGTATCTTCTCTTCTGGATATTTATTTAAGATGTAAAATTATGTGTCATTAAAATTATTTTCTCCCTATAAACTTAAAATGCAAAGGTCTTGTGAGAATGAAATTACACTGCAATTAAATGATTTAGGAGAATATTTTTTAAAGTGTTAGCATCTTTTTTTTTCCTGTCAGCCAAATATCAATGGTAGGACATGATGAGAAAATTCAAAGTACAATCCACTACTTAGTTCCAAATTAAACACTCATATTCTGAAGCTGGAGAGATTGAAAAAAAAAAACCCAGAGGCAAAGAAATTTGGCAAAATCATTAGGTAAAATTAGGATGAATTGAGTTATAAGACAGTCACATATTTTTACTCTGACACCAGGTTTAATACATTTACCTACAAAGCAATCGTGGAAGTGAAGAAAGAGAGGCAGTTGTCACATCCTCAAGTCCATTAAATGGAGGAAAAATAGATACTTTCTTTTTCTGCAATCACTGAAGCTGAACATTATCAAAGAATATGCAATCTACCTCCCAAGACTGGATGTCCTTGGCATGGCCAGTTAGCAAATACAAACAGTCTCATTGGGAACTGCACAAGGTGGGAATCGCAGTTTAAGGAAAAGCTACAACACTTCAGCAAATCTTTGGAAGAAGGGCTGAATGAGTAAAGACCTTGCTCTGAAATCATCAGGATCTGAGTTCAGATCCCAGCACAGCTTTGTGGCAGCAACTAGCACTTTGTGTTGGGCTGGTGGTTGGGTAGAGACAGGCAGATCCTGAGGGCTCACTGGCTGGCCAACCTGGCCAAACTGGAGAACTCCAGGTTTCCAGTGAGAGATCCAATCTCCAAAAGCAAGATGGTAAATGATTGCGGAAGACACCCTGATGTTAACCTCTATCTTTTACATGTGCCCACAAGTGCAAACATACACACACACACTTTAGAAACTATAAACTTATGCTTGACACTGCTGACATTGGCATACAGAACAATATCGTGAGATGAAAAAACTACAATGTAAGCTGAACGATGATCTGACTCTATATAACAATACAGCCTTTTATCATCATTTACATTACATAAGGTCTTTTTCCAACAACTTTTTTCGTGGGAATGGTGTATAAACCCACAGACACATTCCGCATGTCTAGATTAGACATGGACACAAATTAACACACTCTCCTGGGAGACAAGAATGAGCAGCCTGGGCATGCCTGGTTCTCTGGATTGGTACAAAATGGATACAACTCTGAGGTTTTGCAGACACACTTTTAAACCTGTTTATTTTGTTCCTGTTTGGGTTTCCTATCCTGGTAATAAAAGTAGAATTCCTGAAAAAGAATGTTTTCATCATTATAGCACCTAACACATGCTGTACAATGGTGTGCTTGATTAAGCTGGAGACTGCTAACCCACAAGTGAAGGAAACTAAAACCTAAATTAATCAAAAGCCAGATTAGACAGAAGCCACTTATATGTTTAAATCTTGTTTCTACCTCCTTGTATTTGATGTTTATTTTTGTCAATGTATTTACACTAGTTTAAAAGGCGCACGCCCATGCCTTACAGCTGTTTCATTCATTCTACTATGGGTGCTACATTTAAAACTTGTATTCATCTGCATGGAGAACCTATTTGCTCAGACAATGAGGACTGCGTTATCATATTCTAAACACATTATCCTGCTTTAAATTCTAAACCCTATCACAAAGGTCAATGGCAAATCCAGGCAGCCTCATGACTGCAGTGATGGGGAGAGGAGCAGCTTACCTCCAAGGTGAATGACAGCACCACATCCGACTTGGACAGTTGGATCTCATTCTCATCTCCTAGGTCCAAGAATGCAGAATTCTGGGAACGCTTCAATTTTTGTAACTTAAATTCTGGACCACCTTTTGAAACGGGAAGACTTTCTAGATTGGCCATTAGCAAATTCACAGAGGCCCGCAACTCTTCTATGTACATAGTCTCCATTTCTTTCGAGACAAATCGGGGAAATCTTCTTTCCTTAAAGATAATTAAAACAAACATTAGGCCAGTCCCATTATGGTTATGGCAGAAAAGACTAAACGATGCAATGACTCACCTATAGGTTCTATGATACCTTCCATACAAAGCATCTACCCACATTCAGTCTGGGGGTTTAAAAGCCCCAACCTTTGACTATATCTAAAGGTACCTGATATATTCTATGTAGAACCATTGTAGTATGAGATGAGAAGCATTGTATATATTCTTTCATATTAATCACTCTTATAAGATGTACGAAAGTAAAAACAGTTATGGTAAAATGGCTTAGTGTATAAATAAATCTTAATTAGCCACCATCTTTGAAGGACTTGGAGTAAGTGGTCTGCAAGAAATATATATTCAGGACACATTGCTCTGCTAACCAGAAGAAAACCATTTTCCTGGCACCATTCTTTCTAAACATGTATACAACTGGGATGTTACACTCTTTGTATGTTAAGGACTCATACTAAAACCCCCTTTACTGCAAGTAATATGGATTTATTTCTAGAACTGGATAATTTTCACAATGCATAAACATGCAAGGAACCCTGTGGTCTTTCACTAAAGGTTTAGAAAAAAAACACTGAATTTAAAGTGAAGGGCCAATTTATGACAGGAATCTGTTACATGAAAAAGAGATAACAGTATTAATCTGAATGATTCTATTTTATTTCAGGAGTGCGTTGACAGCTTGTTTTTATTTCTACAGTCAGCTTCTCATTTCTCCACTCTATTAAAAACAACATCCCAGAGGCTGAATAGATGGCACAACAGTAAAGAGGACCTGCGTTTGCTTCCCAGTTCCCACATGGTACCTTGCAACCATCTGTAACTTCAGTTCCTGGGGACCCAACTGTGCTCTCTCTACTGACCTCCACAGACATGCATGTGGTGCACAGCTATTCCTGCAGGTAAAGCACTCACACTAAAAATAAATAAAACGAAAAATGTAGAATACAACATTCAAAACATTAGTGTTTAGAGCTAAATTGTCCTCTGAGATTATGCTAACTTATATTCTATAAAACAGCAAAAGAGAACATATTTTTTCCCTCTCTATTCTTTGCTAACTTGGTATTTGGCTCTTTCCTTCATTGTAGAGATGTACTTATTACATGAGGTTGAAAGTTCTGTCACTCCCAGTGTAAGCTAAAGGCCTGAGGATGAAAGGCTTAGCATGGCCTATTTCAAATGATTTTTGAAGGTTCCAGGAAATCTCAGCCTTCACTGTTGTTTCCACTGGTATCATTGAAAACCTCACCTTTAATAACAGCATCCCTTACAGCAGAGGGATGTAGCCAGGATGTTCCTAACGAATGCACCTGGCCTCTAACTCACTTGTACCAGGTCATTCTCTGCATAGACAGGGATAGCTGGCATCAAATCAGGGATCGGCCAAGCCGTCCCAGGCTGCCTGTTTTCTCTACTCCAATTTAACCTTCAGATACTCTTCTGAAAATCATTTACATACAATCAATATTAAATTACATATTTTCACAAACATTAAACTTCTGCATTAATAATTAATTTTCCTCAAGACCCTTAAGTGGGAAGCCTCATCACTAAATGGAAATTTTTGCATATCTGGCAGGACAATTTCTTAGCTTCCGTAGAAAAAAATCAAGGTGAGTCAATGTTCTTTTTAATGAAGGCAAAAAGAAAAAGGAATCCATTAAAACACAGCTATGTCCTTTTTATGATTTAATTAACTTTATGTATATGAGTCTGTCTGATACCTGCAGATGCAAACAGAGGGCGCTGGGTTCCCCTTGAACTGGAGTTAGACATGGTTTTGTAAGGGGTCTTAGGTGGGTGCTAGAAACCCTGTCTTCCCTTAAGAGTAACGAATGCTCTTGGACTTGCATCTCTCCAGTCCTGGTTGTATGTTTTGCATAAGCTTTAAAAGCATGCAGGGGCATTGGTGGCGCAAGCCTTTAATCCCAGCACTCGGGAGGCAGAGGCAGGAGGATCTCTGTGAGTTCAAGGTCAGCCTGGTCTCCACAGCGAGTGCCAGGACAGGCTCCAAAGCTACACAGAGAAACCCTGTCTCGAAAAAACAAAAGGAAAAAAATCATGTTTAGGTCAGAAATGAGGCAGAAGGATAAGGGGAACAAATATGTTCAGAGGTAGACAGGATAATGCTCATCTTTGACCACCAGGGGGCCAGGTACTGAGTTACACTTCCTATTTCCTGGAGATTAAACATTCCAGAGAGAGAAATTACAAGTTAGCTTCTCCGATTTTGTCGAGAAAAGATGCAAATATTTGTCGCCTATTTAAAATAGCCCAATGGCTACAATATAAGTGTGCATTTTAAATTAACCACTTTTGTAACTAATCCAAGAAAGTTAAAGAATGCCCAAACACCTTGTTTCTCAGATTCTCTCTGGGATATTCTCACTATTCAACTGGCTTGCCCATTGATAATACATTGAGTAAAATACTGTATTTTCATTTTGTATTTGTGTGGAATTTATAATTGCCTTTTTAAATTCCATCTTTACAGAGGAGCAAAAAAAAAAAAACACGAAAACTTGTGACATATTTGAAAGCTTAGATGCATCAAGTTTTTTTTTTCTTCAAATTTCCAAGGTGTTGCTTTATGAAAACAAGCATTAGCACATGAAAGAAAACCTATTTGTATCTAGGTGTTGCTAAACAAACATCATCACCTGTCGAAGAAGAAACTGATAGGCTCATGAAAATCGATTTATTATTTCAGTTTAGTGGGAAACTGACTATATTACATTTTTTATTTATTTTAATGAAAAAAGTCCTCATAAGTCTTCTTTTAAAGATCTGGCACTTATGGGAAATATTCCATCAACTTCATCTGACCCTGCTGTTGTTGACTCTTGCAAACAAAAGAATCTATCTGTCTTGTTTTAGTCCAAGGAAATTATATTTGCCTGGCTCCATCCTAAGCACCCAGGATAGTGCTTGCTACACATAATAGTATATGCCCAGTAAATATATTGTGCAATAAACATGGAGATCAAAAATGAAATCATTTGCATACTACTGTACATCTAAAAAGTCAACATGGCCTTATCTACAGGTTTTCTCAGCCTTCTTAACATGTCCTAACTTCTTCCTTGGCTAAAATAATAAAATTCAACATCCCTATTCCTTGACACAAATTTATGTCCTGTGATTTTACTGTGATTATATTGTTTATACTGCTTTATGAAGTGTGGAAGGTGCTGTTCCTGATTGCAAACTGGTAATGAATCATTAGTCTGCACTGATCAGATTAAGGAGGTCCAAAAGGTAGGGAGCAGCTAGCCCCTGGAGCCCAGGGCACGGCCTTTGACCTAGTCCACCGATGCAGTAGCTCTGTGATGTGGATGAAATGATGAATTTTCCAGAGCCTCAACACTGTCTATAGAACCCATGCTGTCACCTGCCCTAGTGGCTCACAGGGTAATGAAAGAAGCATCAATCAACAAGGTCAGTGTGTTAATGAATTAGTCTTTTAAGTCTTACTCCGAGAGCTTCGGTGAGGTGTATTCAAAGTGGAGAACAGTGAAACCTGCCCTATATGCTCTACTGATATTTCTGCTAAAATGTTTTGTACTTTTGAAGCATTTCATACTTCTAACCCCACATGTTTCACTTCTTTCCCACTACTTTCCCCAATTAGTGACATCTCTACTGAGACCAATGGGCTGTCTCAAAGGGAAGCCTTCTTGGTCATTGCTGCTCAGGCAAGGACTTATGAAAATACGTTCTCTGTAGACATGCACTTGAGAACACATCTGAGACTTTCCTTTATATCTGTAACCATCCAGAACATCATTCAAACTGCACTGGAAAACAATCATGTACACGTAGGCCTCTGGAGTAACAAGTCCAATTTATAATTAGGCATCAGTAAGGCTTCATCTAGACTTGTCCCTGAATTCTTTCCTGGCCTTTGGCCTATAAGAAAGGCAACCAGCCTTCTAGCCAGGTTCAAAACAGGCTAGCAGTTTTGGTAAGACTGCTTTATCTCTCAATTTGCCTGTAGCTTGTAATTGCTTGATTTCTGTGCTGTCAATTGTGCAATGCACCGTCTGGAATGGTCCAGTGCCTCTGTCAATGTCTAGAGGCGAGCAGAAAGACATGTCCCTTCAACCCTGCTCTGTGTATGAACACCAGTCCCCAGCCTCTCATTCACAGTGTCCCACGTGGTCAGTCATCTGGAGACTCTCCCGCTTGAAATCTGCCTTGCTTCACAAAACCTACTACCAACCCTATTACCCAAGTTCTCTTTTTCTGTCCAATATCTCAATCTGTTCTCCAGCATTAAATTTAGACAGGCAGAGTATTAGCACTATGAAAATATCATAGAATCACAAATATGTATTTTTCTTGGCAGAAGTACACAATGTAGCGTTGGAGTCAGTATGTGAAACATATTCCCAGTGCTGGAGAAATTCACTGTCTTGGCTTAAGTGGACAAACATACACTCATTCTGTAGTAAATGTGCATGAATGTTGATATATATATGTCAGATAAGAGAGAGGTGGGAAGAAAGAGACAGGATAAAGGGAGAGAGAGAGGAGAAAGATACAGAAAGGAAAAGAGGGAGGAACAGAGAGAGGAGAGAGAGAAGGAAGGAGACAGAGAGCAGCAAACTCTAACTACCAACTGCTCAGTTTTGTTCAGCTGAAGGGAAAGCATGGTCTTCTGTGCTGAGCAACCCACAGCTATGCCAGCATATTTCCATTGTGAAGGGGTACACATTTTTATATCATTGAAGTACATCAATCTGTCATTTCACACCAAAGAACAGTTTTGATGGTTAAGATGTATCGCTCTAAATATCCAAACTATTAAAGGCAAACCCAGCTTTTGTTTTAAATACATTTCTGTTCTCAGAAATAGCGATTATGAAAGTAAAAACCACTAGGATTATTAGTATAGGAATCACACTTCATCTGTCTTAGACATTTCAAGTCAGATTTTGGACCATCAATCATTCTGTCAAATATTAGTTGGCACCACTATTTGCCAACCAGCATGCTGGGAATTTTGGAATTCATATCTTTTAAGGAAACTTTTCTCCCTGATTTTATTTTTTCTCGTGCAACATTAAAACACTTGCAGATCTAGTTAGCAGTTAGAAAAAAATCACATACTTTTAAACTATTAAAAGGTTATCATCCAATTTAGACGATTCACATAGTAAGCATGGAAACTCCAGGTAGATAGTGTACTCCATTTAGAAAATGTGAATTCAGATACTTGGGTTTAAGAGGTTATTTATAGAGGCTGGAGAGATGGCTCAGCGGTTAAGAGCACTGACTGTTCTTCCAGAGGTCCTGAGTTCAATTCCCAGCAACCACATGGTGGTTCACAACCACCCTGAATGAGATCTGGTGCCCTCTGCTGGCATGCAGGCACAAGACTGCATACATAATAAATAAATACAATCTTTAAAAAAATTTAAAAAAGAGGTTATTTATATAGAAGAGCAAGTCATAACCCACAATGGGTATGTCTGTCTGTGTCAAGCATGCTTTTGGAGGACAGACATCCAGACAAGGAAAGATATGTGGCACATCATATTAGCCTGCATAACATACCTTTGCCATTTTCTCTGCCAACTGCAGGCGTCCATCAAGTTCTCTTCTGATCTGGGCTGCTTGCTCATCGGCATTATCCAGCTTAAAGTGAAAAGAAATGCATTGTGTGTGAAATGGTAACTCAGTGGCATAAAAACAAGACTAAATGACTAAGGAAGCTTCAGTAAATTCCCTCAGCTATGTATTCTGAAGTCTGCTTGGTTCCATTGTGGCCCAATTATATGACATTTCATTGGGTTTTAGTCACAAAACATTAAATTTGTGAGATTCAACAGCTCCATTTATTAAGAAATCTAATTACTGTAATAACCCTGTGCCTAATGTGTTAGCAACAAACCTAAAACAAGAAGTCCTTGTTTCCTTGAGGTTGACACAAATTATCATCAAATTTATTTATCCCATTCTCTCTTCAAGAAGGTCAGTCCTGAGCACTTCAGCAGTAATGAATTTCTTACTTTGTTCTCTTTTGGATGACAAGATGTTGATTAACATTTCACTTCTTATTTCCTATGTATTTCTTCATTTTTTTTTTTTTGGTCTGTACTAATGCTAAACAGTAAAAGTACTAACTATTTGACTGACAATTTTCTGCCATTTCAGTCTGCATGCATTGCTCATTCTAGTGCAGCAAAGAAATGTTTTCACGTTTCTACAGACAAGCATTACATTAGAGTTCCATTTCAGTGTTTTAAATCTGATAGAAGCTAAATAAGAAGGCAATCATCTTTCAGCAATCCCCAACATATATGGAAAATCATTTTCATTTATTAATTGAAATCATTCTTATCTTTCACTACAATGTCTGTCTCCATGCCCCTCCCCCTTCCCAATTATTCAATCTTCTTTTATCATTTTGTCATAAGATGTTAAACGTGTGGGACTGAAGGGTAAATTCCTTCTCACTTGAATTTATTCTCCTTTCCTATCTTCATTATCAAGAAGCTAGGCTAAAGGACACAACCATATTTTATTAAAGATAATTTAAATATTTATGTGTATGTGTGTCTGTGTGAAAGCTTGCCACATGTGTACAGAGGTGTTCCTGGAGGCCAAAAGAGGGTGTTGGGTCCCACAGATCTGGAGTAACGGGTGGTTTCCAGTGCTGTTTATTTCTTCCACAGGAGAAAAAAAATACAATAAAAAGGCAATCTGCATCTCAAGTAGTCTTACATTTTCCTCTCAGAACATTAGCAATTGAAGAAGCCATAAAATCCTTCAAATTTCACCAGGGCAGATTTAGCTCATCAAAGACAAACATCTTTAGATTAATAGTTTTACTTATTTTTTTTTTAAACAGGGTTTCTCTGTGTAGCCTGGGCTGGCTGTTCTTTAGACCAGGCTGGCCTCAAACTCTGATGCTTCTGCCTCTGTCTCAGGAGTGCTGGGATTAAAGGCATGTGGCACCACAATCTGGCTGTTTTACTTAATTTTTTTTTTTGTAAGAAAAGTGGTTCCACTCATTTCTGCATTTTAGTGGGGTTATTCTTCAAGAGACACCGTCTTAATCACACTTGTCTAAAGAGGCAGGCAAAGGAAAGGACTGCTGCCCTGAACCTCTTTGCAAAGTTAATACTTCAGAGATCATGACTCCTAACTTTAGTGAATTGAGACACTGAGCACTTCTGATCCCTCACAGTATCCTATTATAAACACACCTCTCTCCTTCTACCCAACCCCCAGATGGTTAGTTTTAATACTGATGAACTTCATCTTACACAATGCTTAAAAATATATTCTGAGCCGAGCGGTGGTGGCGCACGCCTTTATTCCCAGCAATCAAGAGGCAGAGGCAGGAGGATTTCTGTGAGTTCAACACCAGCCTGGTCTACAAGAGCTAGTTCCAGGACAGCCTCCAAAGCCACAGAGAAACCCTGTCTCAAAAAGAAAAAAAAATCTGTTAAGGCAAATAGGATTTTAATTCAATTTACATAACAAAATAAGAGATGCTCCCCCAGAGAAGGTAACACAGGTACATATTGCAGAGCTTTGAGTCTGAAGCCTTTGACCTCTTTGCAACCTGAAAGGGCCCAAGTGGCCTCCTCACCTTCAAAAAATAGCACCACAGACTAAAAACTCTGAAGTACATGTTTCTAGGTACAGCATGCCATGGGACATCCAGACTTACCTTTAACTGTCTTCTTGAAAATTCAACTTGTAAGAGAAACAGCCACCAGCCTACCCAAGCTGCAGTCACCCATCCCCAGTGCCCAGGCTAGCCCGCACGCGCAAGCGCATGCGGGGCAGGTCCTCCCCTAAGCCAAGTCAGAAGCCTGCCTCAAAGCCCAGAGACATTGACAGAGAGACACCTGACCAGAAACACCAAAGAGAAAAGGACATATGACAGAGTCAGTCTCCCCAGCCAATAGGACCTTGAGAGGCGGTATAAAGGCAAGCTTAATTTCTTTAACAACTGAGTCTGCACCATGCTCTGCTACCCAGCAACTCCCTGTGCCTGAGTCTTTGGTGCTGCATCATCTCACCCCTCTCCCCCAAGGGGTGTCCGAGTAGGGTAACCCCAAAATATGAACTTACAAAATAATAAAAAAGGCACATTGAGTTTAATGATCCCAAAAGAGATGAATCTTCTATCTTGACTCCTTATGCTGAGCACAAAATGCCATGTTGTAAGTGGTGTGCCAGCTACCAATTCCTTAAGCTCCAAATAATAGGTTCATCTTTGCCCTCTCTTTCCTAAACAGCTCAAGCCCAGTCTCCCTACAGTCACACAGAGCAAGATCTACAGCTACGTAGTTGAAGCCTAGGCAGGCTACAGTACTTGACATGCTTCACCAGACCTCCTTTTGTGCATGAATAGTATGTATATATGTGCATGTGTATGTATGCACGTATGACCTTCAAGCTACATTAAACATACCCCATTTTACAGATTCAGCTACAAAGACTTAAAATAAGAAAAAATTAAGAATAAAAGTGAAGGGCAGGGAGAGATAGCCCAGAGAGTAAAGTGCTATGTGAAGACCTGTGTTCCGATCTCCAGCACATCCATGAAAGGCCAGGTGTGGGATGTGGTGATACACATCTGTAATCTCAGAACCAGGCAGGCAGAGACAAGAGAATTCCTCACCTTGGCTGAGAGTCACTTTAGCCAATCAGCAATCACCAGGTTCAGTAAGAGACCACATCTCAAAAGCTAGGCAGAGGTTGGCTGGGGAACTGAAAACAGACATCAACCCCTGGCTTCCACATATACACACACATACACACACATCACACATACAAGTGCACACATATACGCACATGTATACATAAACACATTCTCAAAAGGGAAGTGAAAGACTAAATAACTTCTTTGTCCTTTGGATCCTCATAGCAACTTAAATAAATGATTTTGTGCAGCACGCACGCACGCACGCGCGCGCGCACACACACACACACACACACACACACACACACACACACACACACACACAATGGTATTCCGGAGAAAGGAAAGCCTGAAGAGATAAATGGCAGAAGTGGGCTTTTTAAGAAACTGTTGACACAGCAGACCCTACTGCTGGGCATACAGAGATATGGACTCCAAGGCTTGCAGTAGAGGGCCACAGGGAAATCTCAGTTTTAGCAGTGTACCCCCATTGTAATTTCATCTCCTCTAAATTCTTGATTTCAATATTTTATGTGACAAAAGATTACTTACTGAACAGATGTCTTCCACAGCACTGGGTACAGGGCTTTTAAAGAAAGAGTGTCACAACCCTGACCATGACAAATATACAAAAGCCCCTCTCATCCCTCTAGTTTATATCACAGACATTTTGACTTCAAGTTTCAAAGTATGTCACTAGCTTGACACATGTGGTCAAGAAATGTACTTTGATTTCCCTCACCTTCATTGCTATGGGAATACTATTTCCCCATTCAGATTTTTCTGGCTGAGAACTCTTATCCTGACCCTTTAGGAATTGTGACCCCATTTAAAGTTGTGAGCAGGACTTTGTAGAGAAATTATATTTTCCTTCACAGAACTGCCTGGGTTTGATAGCTTACCTACAATGCAATTACTATAAGAAAGATGACAAGTATTGGAGAAATTCTGCAATGAAAAAGTTATTTTGTTACTGGTATCAGAAATAATTATGAATGGGGAAATACTAAAAATGGAGAACTCTGGCATGCTGATCTCAAACCCCAAACTGTCATTACTCAAATTTTCTCTTATTCTGTGGAGAAAAGCCCCAGTGAACAAAAATACTTTTTGAGAAATACTGGGTAGGCTTGCGCACGTAGAACATTATCTTAAAGAAAAAATTTTAAAAATATTTATTTTACATCCTGACCTCCCACTTCTCCTCCCAGCCCCTCCCCCACCTCCCCC